GGTTCCAGTCTAACAAAGTCGTGTCTTTCGTGTGAAGGAGTGTAAGTCTAACACTGTCGTGTGTTTCGTGTGAAGAGGTGCCAGTCTAAAAATGTCGTGTTTTTCGTGTGAAGGGGTGTCAGTCTAACACTGTCGTGTGTTTCGTGTGAAGGGGTGTCAGTCTAACATTGTCCTGTGTTTCGTGTGAAGGGGTGTCATTCTAACACTGTCGTGTGTTTCGTGTGAAGAGGTGCCAGTTTAACACGGTCGTGTGTTTCGTTTGAAGGGGTGTCAGTCTAACATTGTCGTGTGTTTGGTGTGAAGGGGTTCCAGTCTAACACGGTCGTGTGTTTTGTGTGAAGGAGTGTCAGTCTAACAGTGTCTTTTGTTTCGTTTGAAGGGGTATCAGTCTAACACCGTCGTGTGTTTCATGTGAAGGGGTGTCAGTCTAACATTGTCGTCTGTTTCGTGTGAAGGGGTTTCAATCTTACATTTTCGTGTGTTTCGTGTGAAGGGGTTCCAGTTTAACACTGTCGTGTGTTTCGTTTGAAGGGGTGTCAGTCTAACATTGTCATGTGTTTCGTGTGGAAGGGTGCAAGTCGAACAATGTCGTTTGTTTCGTGTGATGAGGTGTCAGTCTAACAATGTCGTGTGTTTCGTGTGAAGGGGTGTCAGTCTAACAATGTCGTGTGTTTCGTGTGAAGGGGTGCCAGTCGAACAATGTCGTTTGTCTCGTGTGAATGGGTGTCAGTCTAACACTGTCGTGTGTTTCGTGTGAAGGAGTTTCAGTCTTACATTGTCGTGTGTTTCGTGTGGAGGGGTGTCAGTCTAACATCGTCGTGTGTTTCGTGTGAAGGGGTATCAGTCTAACACTGTCGTGTGTTTCGTGCGAAGATGTGCCAATCTAACAATTTCGTCTGTTTCGTGTGAAGGGGTTTCAGTCTCACAATGTCGTGTGTATCGTGTGAAGGGGTGTCAGTCTAACAATGTCGTTTGTCTCGTGTGAATAGGTATCAGTCTAACACTGACGTGTGTTTCGTGTGAAGGGGTTTCAGTCTTACATTGTCGTGTGTTTCGTGTGAAGGGGTGCCAGTCTAACATTGTCGTGTGTTTCGTGTGAAGGGGTGCTTGTCTAACAATGTCGTGTGTTTCGTGTTAAAGGGTGCCAGTCCAACACGGTCGTGTGTTTCGTGTGAAGGGGTGTCACTCCAACAATGTCGTGTGTTTCGTGTGAAGGGGTGCCAGTCTAACAATGTTGTGTGTTTCGTGTGAAGGGGTGCCCGTCTAACACTGTCGTGTGTTTCGTGTGAAGAGGTGCCAGTCTAACAATGTCGTGTGTTTCGTGTAAAGGAGTGTCAGTCTAACATATCGTGTGTTTCGTGTGAAGGGGTGTCAATCTGACATTGTCCTGTGTTTCGTGTGAAGGGGTGTCAGTCTAACACTGTCGTGTGTTTCTTGTGAATGGGTGCCAGTCTAACAATGTCGTTTGTCTCGTGTGAATAGGTGTCAGTCTAACACTGTCGTGTGTTTCGTGTGAAGGGGTTTCAGTCTTACATTGTCGTGTGTTTCGTGTGAAGGGGTGCCAGTCTAACATTGTCGTGTGTTTCGTGTGAAGGGGTGCTTGTCTAACAATGTCGTGTGTTTCGTGTGAAAGGGTGCCAGTCCAACACGGTCGTGTATTTCGTGTGAAGGGGTGTCAGTCTAACAATGTCGTGTGTTTCGTGTGAAGGGGTGCCAGTCTAACAATGTCGTGTGTTTCGTGTGAAGGGGTGCCCGTCTAACACTGTCGTGTGTTTCATGTGAAGAGTTGCCAGTCTAACAAGGTCGTGTGTTTCGTGTAAAGGAGTGTTAGTCTAACATATCGTGTGTTTCGTGTGAAGGGGTGTCAGTCTAACATTGTCGTGTGTTTCGTGTGAAGGGGTTCCAGTCTAACACGGTCGTGTGTTTCGTGTGAAGTGGTGTCATTCTAACATTGTCGTGTGTTTCGTGTGAAGGGTTTCCAGTCTAACACTGTCGTGTGTTTCGTGTGAAGGGGTTTCAGTCTTACATTGTCGTGTGTTTCGTGTGAAGGGGTGCCAGTTTAACATTGTCGTGTGTTTCGTGTGAAGGGGTGCTTGTCTAACAATGTCGTGTGTTTCGTGTGAAAGGGTGCCAGTCCAACACGGTCGTGTGTTTCGTGTGAATAGGTGTCAGTCTAACACTGTCGTGTGTTTCGTGTGAAGGGGTTTCAGTCTTACATTGTCGTGTGTTTCGTGTGAAGGGGTGCCAGTCTAACATTGTCGTGTGTTTCGTGTGAAGGGGTGCTTGTCTAACAAAGTCGTGTGTTTCGTGTGAAAGGGTGCCAGTCCAAAACGGTCTTGTATTTCGTGTGAAGGGGTGTCAGTGTAACAATGTCGTTTGTTTCGTGTGAAGGGGTGTCAGTCTAACAATGTCGTGTGTTTCGTGTGAATGGGGTGCCCGTCTAACACTGTCGTGTGTTTCGTGTGAAGAGGTGCCAGTCTAACATTGTCGTGTGTTTCGTGTAAAGGAGTGTCAGTCTAACATATCGTGTGTTTCGTGTGAAGGGGTGTCAGTCTAACATTGTCGTGTGTTTCGTGTGAAGGGGTTCCAGTCTAACACGGTCGTGTGTTTCGTGTGAAGTGGTGTCATTCTAACATTGTCGTGTGTTTCGTGTGAAGGGGTTCCAGTCTAACACTGTCGTGTGTTTCGTGTGAAGGGGTTCCAGTCTAACACTGTCGTGTGTTTCGTTTGAAGGGGTGTCAGTCTAACAATGTCGTGTGTTTCGTGTGAAGGGGTGTCAGTCTAACAATGTCGTGTGTTTCGTGTGAAGGGGTTTCAGTCAAACATTGTCGTGTGTTTGGTGTGAAGGGGTTCCAGTTTAACACTGTCGTGTGTTTCGTGTGAAGGGGTGTCAGTCTAACATTGTCGTGTGTTTCGTGTGAAGGGGTTCCAGTCTAACAAAGTCGTGTGTTTCGTGTGAAGTGGTGTCATTCTAACATTGTCGTGTGTTTCGTGTGAAGGGGTGTCAGTCTAACACTGTCGTGTGTTTCGTGTGAAGGGGTTCCAGTCTAACACTGTCGTGTGTTTCGTTTGAAGGGGTGTCAGTCTAACAATGTCGTGTGTTTCGTGTGAAGGGGTGTCAGTCTAACACTGTCGTGTGTTTCGTATGTAGGAAATGTCTCGAGCCATGCATGAGTTATAATAACATTTATGTTTATACCCGATTTACCCATATGGGAAAGACGTTCAACCGTATAATCAGAATATAGTTTCTTCAGCTTACTTATTCGTGATAATTACAAAATGACTATTTAAGATACGGATCCAGCTAGTTAGACATGATAGGAATGATGTAATCTAAATATTTCTCTCAGCAGTTGATCATCAGTTCGAATCTCGGATTCAAAATGATCATGATCCTTGGTTTGGTTGCGTCATATAACAAATAGTGCCCGGGATTTTTGAACCATATAACCAATAGTGGTTGGGATGTTTGCACCGTTTAACCAAAAGTGCCCGAGATGTTTGCACCATATAACCAAAAGTGCCCGGGATGTTGGCACCATATAACCAATAGTGCACGAGATGTTTGCACCATATAACCAATAGTGCCCGGGATGTTTGCACTATATAACCAATAGTGCCAGAGATGTTTGCACCATATCACCAATTGTGTCTGGGGATGTTTGCACCATATAACCAATAGTGCCCGAGATGTTTGCACCATATAACCAAGAGTGCCCAGGATGTTTGCACCATATAACCAATAGTGCCCGGGATGTTTGCACCATATAACCAATAGTGCCCGGGATGTTTGCACCAGATAACCAATACTGCCTGGGATGTTTGCACCATATAACCAATAGTGCCCGAGATGTTTGCACCATATAACCAATAGTGCCCGGGATGTTGGATCCAGATAACGAATAGTGCCCGGGATGTTGGAACCCTATAACCAATAGTGCCTGGGATGATGGAACCATGTAACCAATAGTGCCCGGGATGATGGAACCATATAACCAATAGTGCCCGGGATGTTTGCACCGTTTAACCAATAGTGCCTGGGATGTTTGCACCATATAACCGATAGTGCCCGGGATGTTTGCGCCATATAACCAATACTGCCCGGGATGTCAGCACCATATAACCAATACTGCCCGGGACGTTTGCACCATATACCCAATAGTGCCCGGTATGTTTGCACCATATAACCAATACTGCCTGGGATGTTGGCACCATATAACCAATAGTGCCCGGGATGTTTGCACCATATACCCAATAGTGCCCGGGATGTTTGCGCCATATAACCAATAGTGCCCGGCATGTTTGCACCATATAACCAATAGTGCCCGGGATGTTGGAACCATATAACCAATAGTGCCCGGGATGTTTGCTCCAGATAACCAATACTGCCTGGGATGTTTGCACCATATAACCAATAGTGCCTGGGATGTTTGCACCATATACCCAATAGTGCCCGGGATGTTTGCGCCATATAACCAATAGTGCCCGGGATGTTTGCACCATATAACCAATAATGCCGGGGATGTTGGAACCATATAACCAATAGTGCCCGGGATGTTTGCACTATATAACCAATAGTGCCCGGGATGTTGGAGCCATATAACCAATAGTGCCCGGGATGTTTGCGCCATATAACCAATAGTGCCCGGGATGTTTGCACCATATAACCGATAGTGCCCGGGATGTTGGAACCATATAACCAATAATGCCCGGGATGATGGAACCATATAACCAATAGTGCCCGGGATGATGGAACCATATAACCAATAGTGCCCGGGATGTTTGCACCATATAACCAATACTGCCTGGGATGTTTGCAACATGGGAGCATCGCTTGTGTACAACTTAAACATTATATTAAGCTGATCCGATGTGGTGATACAACCGAAAAAATATTCAAAGTGGTCAAGCCTAGCTCCACTCCTCACCTACTTTTGGGATGGAGTTTATTATTTATACGTTTGTTTAAATTTCATTTTGCGTTTCCCGCCCTGCAGTGACTATTGGCGGACTCTGTTTGGAGGACAGATGGACCTGGACTGGGGGAAGCAGCGTCACCCTCGTCTGCACCAACGACTGCCTTGTGTATAATCACACTTCAACTGACGAATGTACTTCAGTTGTCATGCAATGGAAGTATGTGTGTCAAGTCTAATTGGTCTAAGTATTCAAACTCTTTCAAACTACATATACTCTGCAACAAAAACAACCGCAAAGTGATTTAAGATGTAAATGTTACGTATCATATAGATACTCGCATGGTATATAGTAATAGATGATGATCGAATGTTAAAAAATGGCACACATCATTGTCATTTACCCAGATTTCGTATGGCATACATGGAACAGTAGATTTTCAAGAAGGTCAACTCTTCTCAATCTCTTGCTTGTATAGCCGCAAGTGTCGGGCGTTGCCTTGTTAGATGTGTAGCCGAAGAATCTCATCCGTGTACCGTTGTGCCGATAAATTCCCCAGAACTTGCACCAAGTCTGTTCTACAAGTGTAGGAAATGGCTGCTCACATCGTCACACTGCCATCACCAAATCTGTGTAGTTTCGTGCATAACTTTCCCCGCGTAAACACGACGTCTACCATCCGCACGGCGAAGCATAACACATGACTCGTCACTTAACCCAATTTGTCCCATCTCACTGGTGACCATACTCTATAACCTTGACACCACTGACGTCGCAGCCGACGATGCAGGTCCGTCAAGTTGACACCTCGAACTGGTCGTCTGGCGTGAATACCCTCTGCGCGGGAACGGTACCTCACTGTCTGGGCCAATATCCTACACACATCCTGGTATTACCGTAGTTGTAGTGGTGGCGGTGGTGGTTCCTTCACGTAAAAGACGTAGCTGTATGAGTCTTCCCTGTGCTCTGGTAGTGATACGTGTTCGTCCGGATCTGGGGAGGTCGGTTGTTGTCGCGTGTCTCTGATTACGGTTCCACACTCTTGTAATGGTGCTTGGTGCTACGTGGAAAAACCTGCTTACAGCTTAAGATGATTCTTCTGTTTGCACTTGGCCGATGGCGTTGTTGCGTTTGGCTTCCGTCAGGCATGGTATATTTTCGCTGTTCACCTGTTGTAAGATTGTGATGGCATGCAAAGGAAAGCCCAGCGTTTTTATAGCCCAACAAGTGATGTTACACGTGCATGTCAATGTTGGTGTGTTTTAGCGCCAGAGTATCACGTGGTTGTGATTTATCCTCAATCTCAATCCATGCAGAAAGAAACAAACCATTTTTTATATTATTTGTGTACGGCTGTCGGCAGCACTCAGTCAGGTATTTACAATTTAACTACATTTGCGTTACATTTTTGTGCAGAGTATATGTCTGTTCTGTCTGTGGGTACTGTCATGTGTTACAAAACGAATGGAATATTGTGACGCAGTTTACTCCAAATCATGGTAATGTTATTGAATGCTTTTCCTGATAAGTATCTCGCCCCACATTTGAAAAGAACAAGACATTAGGTTAGGTTATCTGTATCCCTGGCAGCGTAGTTGCCCCAAACACGGAATAGTTACCATGAACTAAATGTGTTTGATTGTTGTTCAACGCCGCACTCAGCAATATTCCAGCTATATGACGGCGGTCTGTAAATAATCGAGTGTGGTCCAGACAAGCCAGTGCTTGACATCACGAGGGTCGACCCACGTAATTGGTATACAATGACATGCATCAACCCTGTCAGCTAGCCTGACAACCCGATCCAGTTAGTCTCCTCTTACGACAAGCATAGTCGCCACTTACGACAAGCATAGTCGCCATTACAGCAAGCATGGGCTGCTGAAGAACGGATCACTATCGAACTTGTTTGCAACTGAAAGTTTGTGTTTGACATTACTAGATGTTGATTTGCGGTGTTAACAAGAATAACTTACATGTCAGCATCTGTATGTTTATCTGTTGATATTGATGTTCATATTCTGTGGCTTTTTGTCGTAATCAAATCATATCAGGACCAGATCTATGTTTAAGTATTAAACATCAAAACCAATAAATGCAATGATCTGTTTTTGCTCTTTATATGTGCACATGTGAATGTTTGCCGTATTAACTGAATCTTAGGACAGTGTTGTAAATGTGTTCAGTGTTGTTGTCACAGCAGTCACCCATTGTCTGTAGCCTGTTTTATTAATTAATATTAAAATAATGTATCCTAATATTACATACAATATAACATATAATATAGTATTATACAATATGACATTTTGCATTGGTACTGTGCGTCTTATCTGCAACTGTTTAGATAATACTGATCACATTCCAAAGACACTGTTCGCCCTCGGTTAGTAGAGAGGGGGTCGATGGACGACAAGACTCTGGCCCGTCTCTGGGGTCAAGTTTTAGACGACAGCAGTCAAGTTAATGAATTGTTGCAGGTTGAAAAATGGTACAAGTAATTATAATCACGTGACCGGATGCACATCGAGGCTGAGTAGCCAGTATCCCGGTGCGGAGACCCGCTCTGTCACTTACACACAGGCAGAAAGTCGGACGGCGTTTCTTCATCGTTTGTGTAGTCGTTGGTGAAGCGACAGCCCGCCCGCTCTACAAGTCTACCTGATTAACCATATCGGGCAGATTTTGTAGGCAGAAGTATAACATAATCAAGATCAGTTTCCCACGTGCATGTACATACGTAAGACCCGGCTACGTGAGGAAGTGTTAATTATCATTTATTGATAGCGCTGACGTTTATAGGTTCTGACCGGGGGAGGGTAGATGAGATAGCCGATTGTTTGCTGAATATTTTAAACATACTTTGGAAGCATATTATAACCATAAGTTATTTTGGACGAATGACGTATTCAACTTATTGAAGAGGTTGAAGTGAAAGTTATATTAATTTCACAACGTTAAACATATTTTTCTTACTTTATATTCGCCCTTTTTATTGGCTTGTCGGTTATTTTTGGAAATAGTTTGAATATGCTAAGGCAGACATAATCAACACTGATTATTATTTAGAATTGACGTTTTATACTGTATTTGGTGTGTAAAGTACAAACAGGTGTTGCGCTCATAGAACAACAGAGTTTTGAAAACCATGCAAAGCTTGTATAAGCTGTGCATAATGTTGAATATAAACTGTTGTAGACTGTGGATTGGTGGTTTTGTGAATCGAGAAATTGCATGAATAATCTGATGTCCATTCATGGTTAACCTTAGTGATAACGTGTCATTTTAACCATTTATATGTGCCTTCCTTCAAGGAAAGTTATTTTTAATGGAAATATATTTTCCCACCGATCTTCTCCGTAATATTGCAAATACGAGAGGGTGAATTATAATAATAAATAATAACGACAAAACTCTTTACAACTTCACAAGCACCCGCCATCAAGGTTGCCTGTATATAGTACTATACGTATCCACTGATACATATTTACATAATAAACACTGCACATCTTACTCTGCATTTCGTTGTTGTGGTTCCCTGCTACACGACAGCAAAAAGCAACATGCACCCGTGTGAGGGCCAATGAGAATGGTTAGACGAAAGCAACAAGTAACATGCACCCGTGTGAGGGCCAATGAGAATGATTAGACGACAGCAAAAAGCAACATGCACATGTGTGAGGGCCAATGAGAATGGTTTGACGACCGCAGCAAGTAACATGCATCCGTGTGAGGGCCAATGAGAATTGTTACACGACAGCATCAAGTAACATGCACCCGTGTGAGGGCCAATGAGAATGGTTAGACGACAGCAACAAGTAACATGCACCCGTGTGAGGACCAATGAGAATGGTTAGACGACAGCAACAAGTAACATGCACCCGTGTGAGGGCCAATGAGAATTGTTACACGACAGCATCAAGCAACTTGCACGTATGTGCGGACAAATTAGAATGGTTACACGACAGCATCAAGAAACTTGCACGTATGTGCGGACAAATTAGAATGGTTACACGACAGCATCAAGCAACTTGCACGTATGTGCTGACAAATTAGAATGGTTACACGACAGCATCAAGCAACTTGCATATGCGATAACGTGTTAGAATGATTACACGATAGCATCAAGCAGCTTGCACATGTGTGAGGGCAAATGAGAATGGTTTGACGACAGCAACAAGTAAAATGCACCTGTGTGAGGGCCAATGAGAATGGTTTGACGACAGCAACAAGCAACATGCACCCGTGTGAGGGCCAATGAGAATGGTTTGACGACAGCAACAAGTTAAATGCACCCGTGTGAGGGCCAATGAGAATGGTTTGACGACAGCAACAAGTAACATGCACCCGTGTGAGGGCCAATGAGAATGGTTACACGACAGCAACAAGTAACATGCACCCGTGTGAGGGCCAATGAGAATGGTTAGACGATAGCAACAAGCAACATGCACATGTGTGAGGGCCAATGAGAATGGTTAGACGACAGCAACAAGTAACATGCACCCGTGTGAGGGCCAATGAGAATGGTTAGACGATAGCAACAAGCAACATGCACCTGTGTGAGGGCCAATGAGAATGATTAGACGACAGCACCAAGCATCCGTGTGAGGGCCAATGAGAATGGTTAGACGATAGCAACAAGCAACATGCACCTGTGTGAGGGCCAATGAGAATGGTTACACGACAGCACCAAGCATCCGTGTGAGGGCCAATGAGAATGGTTAGACGACAGCATCAAGCAACTTGCACGTATGTGCTGACAAATTAGAATGGTTACACGACAGCATCAAGCAACTTGCATATGCGATAACGTGTTAGAATGATTACACGATGGCATCAAGCAACTTGCACATGTGAGGACAAATTAGAACAGTTGCAGCAACGTGCACATCTGTGAAAAGAAATTAGAATGAAGCAGCAAGGAACATGCAAATATGTCATGACAAATTAGAATGGTTACAGCAATATGCACATATGTGCGGACAAATTAGAATTATTACACGACAGTAACAGGTTACATGCACACATGGGAGGACAAATCACAATAATTACATGATAGCAGCAAGCAACATGGAGATATGTTCAGATAAATGAGAAAGGTTACAGCAATATGCACATATCTGCGGAAAAATCAGAATGGTTACACGACAGCATCAAGAAACATGCACATGTGCGAGAACAATTTGGAATGGTTACACGACAGCATTAAGAAACATGCACATGTGCGAGAACAATTTGGAACGGTTACACGACAGCATCAAGACACATGCACATGTGCGAGAACAATTTGGAATGGTTACACGATAGCATCAAGACACATGCACATGTGCGAGAACAATTTTGAATGACCCAGAACTTCCTAGCAAACGCCAGCATTCACGTTTTACCATGGCCGGCATGTTCACCGGACATGAACCCAATCGAATACACGTGGGACATTCTCGGCCGCAAAGTCAGGAATCGCCCTGTGCCTCCAGTTAACCTCCAGGAATTGGAACGCATCCCCCCCCCCCCCCCCCCCCCCAACGTCATCAGATGTCTGACGTCATTAACCCGTAGACGTGTATTAGCGTGTATTGACGCTCACGGTGGACATACCCGGTACTAACGTGACTTTGAGACGTGTGTTGTGACATTTTCCACACTTGACTAATCAACTGTGTTCAAATGAAATTCTCATTTTGGACCCCCCGCGTCTCAACATGTCTGTCCTCATGATTGTAAAGGATTGATTACAATGAATTGTTGTACACATACTGTAAAAACATTACTCACAAGTTATATACCAATTTGAAATGTCTGTATCGTTTAGTTTTTTTGTAATGTCCTTTCAAACACGTGGTATCGTTTCTTTTGGACATTAGTTTATTAGCCCGCGTATAATCTTCGGATTCAACTCTAGAGGAAGGAGAGAAATTCATTCACCCATGTCTTTACTCGAATCACTCATTTACATGGGTTGGACATTTCAATTGTGAATGCAGGACACACATGTGAATACGTGTGAATACATGACGCACATGTGAATACATGTGAATACATGACGCACATGTGAATACATGTAAGCCATGTCTCAAAGTCCTGCTTCTTTCATCTCCGCAACATCGGAAGTGTTCGACATCTACTCACAAAAGAAGCTGCACACACTTTGGCTTGATCTACAGTTGTATCACGGCTTGACAGTTGCAACAGTATCATGAGTAGCATCACAAATAATCAACTCCACAGGCTCCAACGTGTACAAAATACAGCAGCATGTATCGCAATCTCATTAAAATCAGACCTTAGTTCTCGCTACCGCTAAACAAAAATCTGAGGACATCCCATTAGGGGTCACGTCAGAACGACCTTTCATCTGACCAATCAGTGCGTCGCTTACTAGAATATGGAAGTGACAGTCGGAATGTGATTTCTAATCATGCAATCTCGAAAACTTTAACAAGGGGTATTCCGAACGATAGTTGCGGGTTTAACGACTGAATCCTTACAATCTAGACCATCTATTAGCCATTCCAGAATGTTTTTTTGTTCAGGTTTCAAATTTGTAATCGAGAATTTGTCAAAATATGTTTTGAAGCGTAATCGCCAATTTGAAAGCTGCCTTCTGATTGGCCATTCCATTGGTCGGTCAAAGTTTAGAAACTTTAGAATATAATCCAGGAAGGATGTAGACAATAATAAAACAATGTGTTTTATTCTTTTCAACACTGCCCATTATACAGGGAATACCTGAACGTGGCTGACATGGCAGTCTTGAATTGTATTATTAAAACAGATTAGTAGCGGGTATAACCGCCACGTGCCCGGATGACGCATTCCACCTTACGTCTCATGCCTCCAGTCAGACGTTGGATCTATTGATGGGTTAACAACAGCCACTCCAGCTGCTTCCAATTGGCGTAAATCTTGTACAGGAGGATCTCGTGCCTGTGTGCGCCGCCCCAGAATATCCCAAACATGTTCAAGGGTTTCAAATCTGGGCTCATTGCTGGCCAGGGTAGAGTCGTTATTGCATTTGCCCTCATGTAAACCACGACTGCATGCGAACGATCAGGCCTGGCTTTGTCATCCAATCGAGAATTTGTCAAAATATGTTTCGAAGCGTAGTCGCCAATTTGAAAGCTGCCTTCTGATTGGCCATTCCATTGGTCGGTCAAAGTTCGCGCAAAGTTGGTCTGACGTGACCCATAATGGGATGTTCTAAGATCTTTGTTTAGCGGTAGCGAGAACTAAGATCTGATTTTAATGAGATTGCAAGTATTGTCACGAAGACATTACAATGGACTCCAGTAATACCTGTTCTGATGTCGCAGCACTGGTTACCACTTAAAGCCAGAACTGAATTCAAAATTCTTACCCTGGCCTACAAGTGCAACATGGAAACAGCCCCATTATATCTCACCGAACTACTGCCTAAATATAAGCCTTCCGTATCTCTCCGTTCTCAGAATAACAACTTGTTACAAGTCACGGAAACCCGTCTCAAAACCTTTGGTCAGGCATCTTTCCAGTTCTGTGCTTCCTCGCTATGGAACAAGCTACCATCTGATCTTAAACTGTCGCCATCGCTTTCATTCTTTAAGGCTCATCTGAAAACACACATTTTCAGACAACACCATCAACTCTACTCCCCTTTCATTAGCATTATTTGCTCAAACTATGTGGCGCCATGTGCATTAACTTGGTGAATGGAATCTGGCGCAGTATAAATGGACTTAATATGATCATTATCATGATTATTATGACACACATGTGAATACATGCGAATACATGACACACATGTGAATACATGCGAATACATGACACACTTGTGAACACATTCGAATACATGACAATACATATGAATACATGACACACATGTGAATCCATGCGAATACTTGTGAATACATGTGAATACGTGACACACATAAAAATATTCCCAACAACTTCACATGCTTGAGTGGTATATATGTACTGTCGATAAGGACAAATTTCCATCAGCTACAAATTATAGGGGGAAAACTCCTTGTGCTGTATACGTGATTGGATTTTGTAAATAAGTGGAGAATATGTATAAAATTTACAAAGTGTTAATTGAAAGGTGAATATTGATGAAACTTTAGAATATAATCAAGGAAGGATGTAGACAATAATAAAACAATGTGTTTTATGCTTTTCAACACTGCCCATTATACAGGGAATACCTGAACGTGGCCGACATGGCAGTCTTGAATTGCATTATTGAAACAGATTAGTAGTGGGTATAACCGCCACGTGCCCGGATGACGCATTCCACCTTACGTCTCATGCCTCCAGTCAGACGTTGGATCTATTGATGGGTTAACAACAGCCACTCCAGCTGCTTCCAATTGGCGTAAATCTTGTACAGGAGGATCTCGTGCCTGTGTGCGCACCCCAGAATATCCCAAACATGTTCAAGGGGTTCAAATCTGGGCTCATTGCTGGCCAGGGTAGAGTCGTTATTGCATTTGCCCTCATGTAATCCACGACTGCATGCGA